ATTTCACTTACGTAGTCGTTTACGTGCTAGAAAAATAATAAGCCTAAATTAACTTAGGAACTTAATCTGCAAAATATTGAATTTAATTTGAAAAACCTTTCCAAACATTGTATTTTAAAGATATTTTTATTACTTACCCTTACCTTAATATGGAGAACTGATCGCCAACCTAAGCTAGTCGGAGAGGCACCTCAAGAAGAAGAAGAAGATAACTTACCCAATCACCAAAATGATTTAACTGCAATGAATATGATCTCTTCCCAGACAAATAATCCCTGTTATGTTTCGCAACGAGTTGTAGGTTTTGTAGCCATGTCGTCTTAGCTATTGCCTCGTGGTGATGAGATTCATAAGATTTGTTATATACTGTCTACAATTAAAAAATAAATAAGTACTATTTTACATCATCACACACATTATATTGTAAGCTGTCACCGCGACTCCGTCTACACGGTATTAAAAATTAGTCTATGTGTTCTTACAGAAGCGTCGGTGGCTCTGGGGTCAAGCACTTGACTTGCAAACTGCAGGTCCTGGGTTAAAATCCCGCCATTAACCAATGTGTTTTTTTGATTTCTAATTTACATATGTACGTCTAATTTCTAATGTACAATCCGACGTTCTTACGGTGAAGGAAAACATCGTGATGCTGCACATATCTGAGAAGAAATTTAAAGATATGTGTGAGGTCAACCCGCACTTGGCCACCGTGGTTGACTATGGCCTAATCACCCTTAACTAAGTGTAGGCTCCAAGTCCCTCAGTGGGGACGTATAGTGAGCTGATGTGTGTGTTCTTCCAGACTATGTTCTACATCTACATCAAATTTCAGCGAGATACATGCAGCCGTTCTTGAGATACCTTCTAACAAACATCCATCCATCTAAACCAGTCTTTCCCAAAGTGGGCGATAACGCCCCCTTGTGGGCGCTGCAGGTCTCAAGTTGCGGGTTATAGTAAAAGTATCGTTTAGAATTCTCCGTTAATATACATATATAGGTCACAATAATTAATTCATTTAATTTGAAGTTATAGTGATTTTTAAATATGTGAAAATATGGGGGCGCTAAAAAAATATTTATTCTCAAAGTGGGCAGTAGACAAAAGAAGTTTGGGAACCAATGATCTAAACATTCGCATTCATAATATTAGTAAGATTTTAAACATTGCTATTATAAAAACGAAAGTCACTCATAACAGCTTATCATATTAGTATAAAGTTTAGAAAACGGATAAATTAAACTGGAATAACGTATACATTAAGTTTTATTTTAGTTCCATGTGTCTCAGGTAAGGTGATAAATAAAATCTTACTTTATACTCCTTCCAGTGTTCATCAGGAACATCTTCATGTATCAACAAACTGCTAAAATGTTTTTCTAAATCATTTAAACCACATTGACTAATATTATAATTATGTAATATATCTCCAAATCTTTCATTTTTAACTATAAAATTCACGGTAGTATCAACAAAATTGTCAATTTCTTGATTTTTGAAACATCTACGTTCTCTCGTATGATTTAATATTGATTTTATTTTATCTGTTACTTCTTTTAATTGTATATAACATGTTACTAAAGTAATTTGAATAAGAATTTTTATTAATTTCATGTTGTAGGTTGTTCACTTTGAAAGTTGAAATTATAGTAGTTGTTTGTTGAGACGTAAGCATATTATGTTATTGGAATGTAATTTGATATCTTTTGTCGAGTAAGCAAATGTATTGTGTTAAAGATAGGTTTCCATTGTCGTAATATGTGTCCGGGCGTCGGTGGCTCAGTGGTCAAGCACTGGATTTGCAATCTGCAGGTCCTGGGTTCGAATCCCGCCTTGTACCAATGTGTTTTTGATTTCCGATTTAACATATATACATTTATCCGACGTCCTTACGGTGAAGGAAAACATCGTGATGCAACCTGCACATATCTGAGAAGAAATGCAAAGATATGTGTGAAGTCAACTAACCCTCACTTGGCTAGCGTGGTTGACTATGGCCTAATCACCCTTAACTTAGGGTAGGCTCCGAGCCGCCCCTCGGTGGGGACGTATAGTGAGCTGATGATGATGAATATGTGTCCAATAAATATTGTCTCAGTTTTATAAGAGACTAGCTGTGCCCGGGACTTCGTCCGCTTTAAATACTATTTTTGATTTGTAATTGGATATTGCAAAATTATTTTATTTTTTCTAAAATAAAAGTAGCCAAAGTTACTCCTTATTATATAAGATACCTGCCAATAAAAGTTCCGTCAAAATCGGTCCAGCCATTTCAGAGATTAGCCGGAACAAACATACAGACAAAAATTATAAAAAATGTTATTTTTGTGAATGTACCGTATTGATTACATGTAATAAAAAACGATGATTTCAATATTACAAATAGACATTCCAATTTTATTTATATGTATCTTTATATATATAATTCTTCTGTGAGTGTGTATGTCACTGAACTTCTCTCAAACGACTGGACCGATTTCGATGAAATTTTTTGTGTGTGTTCAAGGGGATCTGGGAATGGTTTAGATTCACAATTTTCATCAAAAATTAACTTCATATTAATTAAAGACGTGTAGACAGGACAACGTCTATCGGGTCCGCTAGTCTTTATATATATAATTCTTCTGTGACTGTGTATGTCACTGAACTTCTCTCAAACGACTGTACCGATTTTGATGAAATTTTTTGTGTGTGTTCAAGGGGATCTGGGAATGTTTTAGATTCACAATTTTCATCAAAAATCAACTTCATATTAATTAATTCAAATTAAAGACGTGTAGACAGGACAACGTCTATCGGGTCCGCTAGTCTTTATATATATAATTCTTCTGTGAGTGTGTATGTCACTGAACTTCTCTCAAACGACTGTACCGATTTTGATGAAATTTTTTGTGTGTGTTCAAGGGGATCTGGGAATGGTTTAGATTCACAATTTTCATCAAATATTAACTTCATATTAATTTATTCAAATTAAAGACGTGTAGACAGGACAACGTCTGTCGGATCCGCTAGTATAGATAGTAAAAGAGTTGTTTTTTAAAGTGAAACTCTAATAGTTCTGTACAGAATTGTATTTGTTTTTACAGTTTTTTTATTATTTTTTTATTTGGTTAAAGGTTCTAATATGTTCGTGTAGCATTCGTTGAGTTATATTTGGCTCGTTCACGTACCGACACGTTCTACCGGTCCAAAGGTCTGACATCGACTGACGCACTCTCCGGCATGTACAGTCAGCGTCATATAGATCGTAACAGACAAGATATGTAAATATATAGGTACACCACAAGTAATCAATTATATCGGTACAACAAAAGTCCTCAAATTAATAGATACATTCACCCTGCTCAAATACATCGGTACATACACAGCGTCAAATATATGAGTACATGCAAGGTGCCCATAAATATCGTAGCAGCCACAGCGTCATAAGTAACGAAGCAGTCAAGGTGTGCAAAAAGATCGTAACATTTGACAAAGTTGAACTCTATTTCTATATTCTTGTAGTACAATTTGGAATAAACTACTTCTGTCAATTCATATGACACTTTGCATCAAACCACTGAAGTAAGGGATACATTATTTAGGATGAAACACTGAACTGTAACTTTCGATTCGATTAAGTTAAAAACGTATACATTTTCACGCCTGTTACATATAGGGGTAGGCAGAGACTATGAACTTTTATTTGGCTTATCCAAACAAATCTTCGCAATAAGTTCTTCTTATTCTTCTTCTAGACTCTTCGACTCTTCGACTCTTCGTCTCTTCGACTCTTCGACTCTTCGACTCTTAGACTCTTAGACCGTTAGACTCTTAGACTCTTAGACCGTTAGACTCTAAGACCGTTAGACTCTTAGACCGTTAGACTCTTAGACCGTTAGACTCTTAGACCGTTAGACTCTTAGACCGTTAGACTCTTAGACCGTTAGACTCTTAGACCGTTAGACTCTTAGACTCTTTGACTCTTCGTCTCTTCGACTCTTCGACCGTTAGACTCTTAGACTCTTAAACTCTTAGACCGTTAGACTCTTAGACTCTTAGACCGTTAGACTCTTAGACCGTTAGACTCTTAGA